ATGGAGAAGATGTGGAAGTAGACAGAATCTGGACAGCAAGGAAATGATGTTGTTTCCAGCCTAACCTCAGAAGGCCCACTGGCAGTCAGGTGTGTCTGAGACACATATCTTCCATCACAAATGTCCCGGCACACAGGGCCAGGGAGAGGAAGGGAACCACCCACAGCAAGGAGGAAAGCTGCAAAAAGAATAGCAGCAAAATGGCTCTCGTTCTCCGGGAATGGCCACAGAGCCATCACATGACCACCTTGCATTGGCAGCCTATACTGCTGCAACAAATTAAAGCAAATTCAGTTGCTGAAAACAACAAGCTTGCTGTCTCCTAGTTCTCGAGGTCAGAAGCCCAAGACAGGTGTCTATAGGGTTGTGCTCCTTTTTGGAGGCCCCCAGGGGAGGAATCTCTCATCTTGTCTTTCCCAGCTTCACATGGCTGCCCTGGCTATATAGCCCTTGTTTGATTTTCAAGATAGGCTGGATCTTTCTCATACCAGGGACACTCTGACATTGCCTCCTTACTAACACATATAGACCTTTGGGATTACACTCAGCCCATGGGATCACTCAAAATGACCTTGTAATTTTACAGTTGACTGAGCCACAATAATTCCATCTGCCATCTTGCCTTCCCTTGTCCTGTACTACAACATACTCACAGGCATCCAGGATTAGGATGAGGGCATCTTTGGGCCACTCTTCTACCTGCCTCAAAGTGAGGCACATTAGAGTGGTGATAGCTTTGTAAGGGAGGTCCCCAGGCAAGACCACAACCTCAAAACATGCTGCAATATTTGCCCAAATGCTCAGACATAATGGAAAATGCAGCCTTGCCCCATATGACAGTATGCTGATTAATGTTGGAGCAGTGGTCCTGCCAGCAACACTGTAGCTGTGTGGTTTTATGGAAGTACACTCCATGATGTTTGAACCATGATGAAATTACCCAACAAAACACTTTTCAGAATACATCTGTGTCAACAATACCTTGTCTGTAACCTAAAAATAAGCATATAAGTTGTAATCATTCTAGGCAACAGGAGAGCCCTTGAAAGGACTAGAAACCATATGGAATCCCTGAAAGATGTATGACAGGTACAAACTGATTGGAGAAAATGCCAGCCCAAAATGTGTATAGCGATAAACAGTTAAGTCATTTGTTGGCACATCTGTATTACATATTAGAGTGCCTGGGTTCAGCCCTGGCTCCACTTACAACTCCAGCTTCCTGCTAATGCTCAGCCTGGAAGGTAGCAGGTGATGGCTCAAGTGGTCGTGTGTTACCTACACAAGAGATCTGGATTGAGTCCCAGCTTCCTGGCTTTGGCCTGGCCCAGCCCTGTCTGATGAGGCATTTTGGAAGTAAACCAGCAAGTGGAAGAGCTTTGCTTATCTCTATTTCTGTCTCTCTTCACAAAGTGAAGATAAATAAAATGAATAATAGAGAAATGATGACCCCACTAATATACCTGCACCATGTGTCAAAGCATACCTGGGTTTTCTTTCTGTCTCCAGCTTCTGATTTCAGCTACCTCCTCATGCAGATCCTGGGAGACAACGGATGATGGCTCAAGTGCTTTGGTCCCAGCCACCCACCGGAAAGACCTGGCTTGGGCGCTTGGGCCAGCCTGGCTGTTACGGGTATCTGGGGAATAAACCAGGGCAAGAGATCCTCTGTGTGTGTGTGTGTGTGTATGCTCGATTGCTTCCCAAGTTTAAAAATAATTTTTAAATAATTTAAAAATAAAGTAAAACAATAAATGTAGGGAGAGAAAACAACCTTGACTCCAGAGGTAATTGTGGGGAGAAACCAATGGGTCTTGCCTCACAGCGTCTATCCTGCCTGCCTGGGCTTAGGGAATCCTGCTTTGTTTCAGCTTTTCACTTCAATCTCCTGGCTCCAACAGTAGGATACCTGGCCCAGACTAAGTCACTCATTCTGTTTCCCCAGAATGGAGAGGCACATGACCCTAACCAGGCGGGTCAGCTCATTGAACTCCATCCTGGAACTTGTGTAAAGGAACTCCTCCTATTGGGCCAAGGGGTGAGATGAGAGGGGTCTGGAGTAGCCCAGGGCTGTCGTGGACCTGAGATGGACCAAGCCAGTGGACCTGAGATGGACCAAGCCAGGGGAAGTAGAGTCTAAGCATAGATCTTGGTAACATGTTTTTAGCAAAGAATAAAGCAAACCAAGCCCAGCGCAATAGCGTAATGGTTAAGGTCCTCTCCTTGAATGCTCCAGGATCCCATATGGGCACCGGTTCTGGTCCTGGCAGCCCCGCTTTCCATCCAGTTCCCTGCCTGTGGCCTTGGAGGGCAGTTGAGGACAGCCCAAAGCCTTGAGACCCTACACCCGCATGGGAGACCCAGAAGAAGCTCTTGGTTCCTGGCTTTGGATTGGCTTGGCTCCAGCTGTTGGGCCCCTTGGGGAGTGAACCATCGGATGGAGGACCTTGCTCTCTGTCTCTCCTTCTCTCTGTATGTCTGCCTTTCCAATAAAAATAAATTAAAATAAATAAAATTAAATTAAATAAAAGTGTTAACCTTAAAAATTCTTTGTTAATAGACTGCTGATGGTTTAAAAAAATAAAATAAGGCAAACCATAGCCAGCTGTGACTGGGCTTTTCATGAGCCAATAGGTCAGTGTGTTTTGTTTTGCTTTGGGGACCTAAGCCAGTTAAAGCAAGCCTTCTGTTGGCACTGACACCTCATTCTCAGTGTCCCTGATGAGTAGCATTATAAAGAGGGAGCATACATGGCATCCACAGCTCTGGAGTCAGTCCCACGTTGAGGAACAAGGACAAAAAGCTGTCTTTAGCAAGCTTAACACATACCCTTCTGATATGTTAGCAGAATCCAAAGACTCAGAACAAGAGGTGGGAGGCATGGCCCTGAGCACTGGCTCCTAGAATCTGGAAGCTTATGGAACAGCAGAATCCTAAGGAACAACTCAAACAAAAGCCCCGTGAACTCTTACCATTTCCATGATGTCATACGATGAGGAGTGCTTTCCCACAGCACGCAGGCCCAAAGGTTAACCTTGCAATAAGGGACAGCCCTTGAAAGTGCATACATTTGCCTAGCTCTTATGCAAGACTCGCTTTTCTGGCTTTGTCTCAGACTTGTGAAAGCTGTTCCTTGTAACACTTATCTGCTCGCTGGTTGACTTTCCCCTCAGTCCCTGGGCCAATGGGTTCCTTGGGCCCCAGCCCAGGGAGAGGGAAGTTCTAGACCACATGGGGCCCTAAGGGTCTCAGAAGAAGGAAGAGCTTAGGCTCTGTAAGGCAAGAGGAATCTGAAGCCTGAAGGGAGCAAGGGCCACACAGACCAGGTTTGAGCAAAGCCTCCCCCTCTCCCAACCGACTGGGCTCAGGCAACCCTCTCCTCCAATTACCCCCAGAACTCCCAACACACAGAAGGGTTTTTTTTTTTTTTAAAAAAAAAAAAAACAACTTATTTCTTTTTATTGGAAAGGCAGATTTACAGAGAGGAGAGAAAAATCTTCCATGCACTGGTTCACTCCCCCAAATGGCCACAATGGCCAGAGCTGAGCTAATACAAAGCTAGGAGCCAAGAGCTTCTTCTGGGTCTCCCATGTGGGTGCAGGATCTCAAGGCTTTGGGCCATCTTCCACTGCTTTTCCAGACCATAAACAGGGAGCTGGAAGGGAAATGGAGCAGCCAGAACAAGAACCTACATCCATATGGGATGCTGGTGCTTGCAGGCAGAGGATTAGCCAGATGAGCTGCCACACAGAAGTTCTAAAGCTGAGTGGAGATGAAGATGTTAGGACTATGAACACACATGGTTCCCCTCTCCAGAAGAGGGACAGCCTGCCGGGGACCAAGAGCCTGGAATACTCAGAGGGTTCTTGGCTTTGCAGAACAGTAACTCCTTGGTTAGCTAAAGTGGGGGAGGGGGTGACTCAAGTGGGGGGAGGGATGGAATTCCTTCCCCTCACCACCACCAAAGCTGGGAGAAGGGAGCCTTTGACCAATGAGAGACTGCACACAAATGCTCAATGGAGTCCGGCAGCAATAGAAGGTGCTCTCAGGTTTCAGTCTGATGAACTGAACTGCCCAGCCCTTCTAGTCCTCCAACACACACATAGAGGAAACCGGATAGAGCCAATCAGCCGAGAGCCAGGCCCAAGGATAAAAAGAAATAGGGGATAAAGAGGAAAGTGAAAGAGGCAAGGAGGCAGGCCAAAGAAAGGAGGCTTGCAATGCCACATTCTGGAGGCCTCAGCAAAGAGGGCTGTCTGGTGTCACGTAGTGAGTTGTCATCAATCCACTAAGTCCATCAGATTCACAGATGAGCACAGGTCCCCCAGCAGTGGGCTCTGCCTTTCCCCTCCTCCAACTTCAAGAACTGAGTTCCAAACTTCCATAAACAAACCTACAGGGGGCATCAAGGCAGCCAAAAAGGTCAAAAACAAGAATCCCAGGACTGTGGGGCATCCCAGAATCTATACCAACAACTGACCTTGAGCTGGGTGACCATTAGCTAGGGTATGGAGAGGACTGACAGCTGCCTTGCAGCCATGTGGGTGCAGCTGACTCCTTCAGGTGTAGTAATAGGGAGGGCTACCTGATTCCACTCGCAAGAGAGCCAGTCCTGTCCCCCAGAGCAGCTGTTTGTGAAGCATGGAGCATCTTTGTATTATTCCCAAGCATTGTAGCTCTTGAAGGCCAAGTTTCAGGTCAAGTACAGCTGAGCAATATGAGAACCCCCCCCCCATCTCATGCTCCCAAGACCCAGATCTCCCCCACACTCAACCACACAAGCCAAAGAATGCATGCCAAGACATATGCACTGAGTTGTTTATTGTCACAAGTTACCCTAGAACAGAGGGGAACTTTCAGGCAGGAGAGTGGAGGGTGGAAATTTGGAACCATTTATGTTCTGAACACTGCCTTTGTTCCCCTGTGATAACAGTGGGGTTTGGGCCACCAGCCTTGGAGTAAGACAGCAGGACACCTTCCCCCCACCTTCACACACACACTTAAATGCAAGCACAATGCTGTGCGAGAAGATTGGGCACCATCTCATACTTGAAGGAGTAACCGCCATCTGACGTGGTACGAACACGTAGAGACCTCATGGTTCCTGGAATGGCAGCACAGCAAGGCTGGGCTCCTGGCACCAAAGAAAATGCAGGGACTGGGGTCGCGGGCACCCCAGGGATGGGCAGGGGTGTGTCTGCTGGAGTGGACAGCCCACAACCACCGTGACAGTAGTGGAAGATGAAACTGGGAGGGTGCACGATCCACCGGTCCCAGCCCAGCTCCTGGAAGGTGATGTTGAGCGCTGCTCGGTGGCAGTAGTCGTGGGCAGTGGGTTCCTCCGGAGCTCTCTGGAGCAGGCGCAAAGCTGCAGGAGACCAAGGCCAGGGCATCGGGGGAGCCGAGCGGCGGGTTCTATCCCCTCCGCCAGATGGTTTGGCCCGTGTGTGGGCCACGAGGAAGGGCGTGGTCTCAGGCCGGGCTGAGCAGACACAGAGAGGGCAGCGCACCAGCAGCACCAGCACTGGTTGAGTCAGCAGTGGGAGAGCAGAGGCCGCCAGGTGCAGCACAGCCCAGCGAGGGGGTGCCTGGCCCAAGGACATGGGTACAGCCATGGGCCCCCCCAAGGACAGCACCTGCAGGCCTAACAAGGGCTCAGAGCTGTTGGAGATCACCTTGCCCTGCCCATTTAGCCCAGTGTGGAACCACAGCTGAGCCGAAGTCACCTTGTGGCTGCGCATGTGCTCGGACGGCCTGAACATGTACATGAAGAGGTTCTGCTCGGCCTCCTGTGCCAGATGTCCGGCTGCTGGCTGGTCCTCACAACTGGCACCTGGAGAGGACAGAAGGGAGATGGCAACTGAGGAATGTGGCTGCTGTTCCAGAGCACTGCGGCTGTGCCAAGTGCTCTACTCAGTGCCCTCCTTACCCAGGGCACAGACGTCCCATTTCTTCTTTCATCAGTAAAGGATTTAAAAGAAAAACATGTGACATGGCCATCTTCCCTCTCATGGCTTTTCCCACTTATAGGCCCATCAGCAACGTGTTGCTGTTTCCGTTCCCCGACACAGAGAACTGATGGACTTGAGGTGTCATTCACTGCAAAGTGTGCAGTGGTCATCTTGCAGGTGTGCACATGGGAGTGTGGCAGTCATGGTTCTCTTATCAAGTCAAAGTGTTGTGTGATGAATGAGACAGTTATTCATAAAATAACTGAATACCACACAGAGGAAGAAGAGACAGAAGAAGAAGGAAGTTGGACAGGAGAGGTAGAAGGGGCAGTGAGTTCCCCTGCCTCTGCCTGGGGGTCTGGCCCATGTGTGGACCACCAGGAAGGGCATGAACCCAGGTATGCCCTTAGAATAGAGAGCAGCTAGTCATCTCCCACCCCACCCCAGCAGGTGCAGCTGCCAGCCATCTGCATCCTCACAGGCTAGCAGCAGTTCCAGGGCTACCAGTGGGTGTCACACTATTAAATAACCACTCTTATAAATTCAGAATAACTGAGACATTTGGTAGGTAAGAAAACTGAGACTTAGAAAGGTAAAGGGATGTTTCAACTCCTAAGTTGGCCAATGCTGAATGCCCAAACCATATTTTTCCCTACCTGCTGCACTAGGGTTGAACTGAGGGTGTTGGGGTGGGAAGTGGGGGGGAGAGAGGCTCTTCTCTAAGAGAGAGCTGTGCCAGGTGAATAAGAAACACCACCCAGGCCGGGCCTTGCTCATTCTGTTGATGGAACATCGGTCAAGGAGCTAAGATGGGAATCTAAGAGAAAGTAGGACTCATCTGCTAGACACTTTCCCACTGACTCTTCCGTATCCCTGATGTTACCTAGGGCTGACACCGCAGGCAGAAGCAGGAAGCAAGAGGGCAGGAAGAGGCCGGAGCTCTGTGTCTCCCAAACACTTCCCATAGGCCACTGTGTTGCTCCATCCTAACAGGTAGGAGTGATCACCCCCATGTCGCAGATGACAAGAAGCTCCTTGTTGCAAAGCCAGCTGAGGGGGCAGTGCTGGGCTTGGAGTCCAGGTCCATCTGGTCCCCAAACCCAGGCATCCCCCCAGTGCCCCACCCCAGTTACCTGTGGTTGGGAAAAGGATGGCCTGGGAGACATCCTCCTCCTCTGGCTCCGAGTTCCGGCGTGAGAAGCTCCCAAGAGCGTGTCTTCGGGGTAGCCGCCTGACTGCAGGAGCCTCACCTTCCCCGGTCAAAGGAGGGGGCCCCAAGGCATCCAGGAACAGAGCCCTGACCTTGGCCAAGATGAGCTCCCGGTCCACGTCCGGCCCGTGGCAGCCATGCCCACCCAGTGGGCACAGCAGCAAGAGAAGCAGTAGAGGCAGCTGAGACACCATAGCTCACCTGGCGCTGCCAATGGGGGAACCCACACCCTTCCCTTGTGACCCTTCTCTCAGGGTCTGCCTAACGCCTCCCAGCTCTCCCCTCCCCATCGCACCACCCGCCCTCTTCTACCCTTCTTACCCCAGTCTTGCCCAGGCCTTCCCACGCCCTGCAGTCCATCGTGCCCCTGTCTGTGGCATTGAGACCTATCTCTGACGCAGACGTCTGTGGCCCTGAGCCTTATCTCCCACTCCCGCCAAGAATGAGGAGGAGGGGGCTGGGGAGGGCTTTCACCCCAAGTGACCTGACCCCTACACAGAAGCATGCCACCTCTTTCCCCTGCCTGGGAGTAGGCACACACACACACACACAATGTTTCACGTTGCAGCACCCAGCACAGTGGCGATATCGGGTGGGACAGCAGCCTAGAGCCTGGAACCCGAGGTCAACCAGCCCCAGAGAGTGTCATTTGTCAGGGACACAATGCACCACTCCTTCATCCTGGGGGGGGGGGGGCCTTTCAACCCCAGCAGCTGGAGGGGGTGGGGGAGCAGAGGGGGAAGGGCTGGAGCTGGGACTGGGGCCCCGGCAGGGGGCAGGTGGTCCTGCCTGCTCTATACTTAGCCTGGAGGAGCCAGTCTGGGCTCTTGTCCTCCAGCTGTGTCATCAGAGAATATTTTTGGGATTGGCAGCTGCAGGCGCCTCTACCACTCAGGGCCAGAGTCTAGCAGGCGGGCAGCTGGGGACCTGGCGGCTGGAGGGGGAGGGAGGAGGGGAAAGACGCCCAGGCTGTGGGAGGGGGCTGGGAAGAGAGCAGGAAGCCAGGCCGCGCAGGCCGGGCAGGCTGCGGGGCCCCTCGCTGGAAAGGCAAACAGGAAGGACTGCCCCCTGAGCTCCCGGCTCTGGCTAGGGAATCGCCGCCGCTTGCCGCCGCCGCCGAGCTGTAGCTGCGGGCCCAAGGGTAAGCAGGCAAGCAGGCGCGGGCGGCCGGGGCAGAGTTGGGAGGGTCCCCGCTCCCGGGGCCCATCCAGCGCTGCCTCCGGGCTCCCGGCCTCGGAGCGTCCTCCGCCCGGTCCTCCTCCCCCGCCGCAGCCACTGCGGGCAGCTTGCAACCGCCACGATGAAGGCGGGCTCGGGAGATCAGGGGAGCCCTCCATGCTTCCTGCGCTTCCCGCGGCCCGTGCGGGTGGTAAGCGGTGCTGAGGCCGAACTCAAGTGCGTGGTCCTGGGCGAGCCGCCCCCCACTGTGGTCTGGGAGAAAGGCGGCCAGCAGCTAGTGGCCTCGGAGCGCCTGAGCTTCCCGGTGGACGGCGCCGAGCACGGCCTGCTGCTGAGCAGCGCGCTCCCCACCGACGCGGGGGTCTACGTGTGCCGCGCCCGCAATGCGGCCGGCGAGGCCTACGCCGCGGCCGCCGTTACCGTGCTGGAACCGCCGGCCCCCGAGCCAGAGCCCCCGGTGGCCGAGCACCCGCTGCCGCCGCCCGGGACCGGGGAGGGCGCCCCTGTGTTCCTGACGGGGCCCCGATCGCAGTGGGTGCTGCGGGGGGCGGAGGTAGTGCTAACGTGCCAGGTGGGGGGCCTCCCCGAGCCCACGCTGTACTGGGAGAAGGACGGGATGGCCCTGGACGAAGTGTGGGACAGCAGCCACTTCGTGCTGGAGCGGGGCTGCGCCGAGGGGTCTCCGGGCGCCAGCCTGGAGCTGCGCATCCTCGCGGCGCGGCTGCCCGACTCGGGCGTCTACGTGTGCCACGCCCGCAACGCGCACGGCCACGCGCAGGCCGGCGCGCTGCTCCAGGTGCACCAGCCACCGGAGAGCCCGCCCGAGGACCCCGACGAGGCGCCCGCGCCTGTGGTAGAGCCGCTCAAGTGCGCGCCCAAGACCTTCTGGGTGAACGAAGGCAAACACGCCAAGTTCCGATGCTACGTGATGGGCAAGCCCGAGCCCGAGATCGAATGGCACTGGGAGGGCCGCCCGCTGCTCCCCGACCGCCGGCGCCTCATGTACCGCGATCGCGACGGTGGCTTTGTGCTCAAGGTGCTCTACTGCCAGGCCAAGGACCGCGGCCTCTACGTGTGCGCGGCGCGTAACTCGGCGGGCCAGACGCTCAGCGCCGTGCAGCTGCACGTCAAAGGTAGCGCCTGGCCTGGCGTCGCGGGTGGGATTGGGGATGAGGGTGGAGTGGGGGGCCGTCCCAGTGCCTCGAGCGCCTCCAGGAGGCCTTGGCCACTCCGGCACCCTCGGTGACCCGCGCCTCCCAGCGGGTTGGGGGAGGGGCTCCGCAGCAGCACTGCCCCCACCCCCCCACACACACACCTTCACGCTCCAAGGCCTTGGATTTGGTAGGACTGCGGGGCACTGGGGAATTCTTGGAAATTTCTCAAGTGATTCCGAGGTAGATGGTGAACATCACGAGAGAGAGGTTGAGTGCCCGACCATGCTTGTTCAGTGGTGGGCCGCCTCTGGGGTGTGTTTATTCCTTACCCAACTGAACTCGCTTCGCGCGCCCCGACATAGACAGATGAAAGGAACGTTTCCTGAGTGAGGCCACCTCTCCACCTCTAGGCCCTGCACGTATGATGCCACTGGACCACCCAAGGGGGCTGTGGGGCTGAACACACACATTGCAAGTGGAGACGGCTTTCTTAGCAGATCCAGTGTCCGGGCCCTGGTGGGGGGAACAACTCCTTCACAGGGAAAGTAAAGGCCGGGGTAGAAGGGAGAACGGACAGCAACTGGGGACTTTGCTTTTGTGAAACCATGCCCTGTGTTTGAAAGAGGCAGGGGAAGGCTGCACAATTGATGCTGCTAAGGCTAGTCGCCAGTGATAGAGAATAAATGCTGAAGTTACCCACCAGCAGAAGACACAGAGGCGAACAAAAGGCATACCAGGTCACCCTGCAAGTTGCCACTCTCCTTCGTGGCATTTCATAGCATCTTGGGGGATGACTGCCTTGCTGGGGTTTATCTCAGCTTGCTTTTCTTTCTTTTTTCTGATTTATTCATTTTTATTTTAGAGGCAGATTTACAGAGGGAAAGAGATAGAGATCTTCCATCTGCTGGTTCACTCCCCAAATGGCCGCAAGAACCAGAGCTGAGCCAATCAGGAGCCAGGAGTCTCCTCTGGGTCTCCCACGTGGGTGCAGGAGCCTGAGGACAATCCTCTGCCACTTTCCCATGCCATGGGCAAGGGAGCTGGACGGAAAATGGAGCAGCTGGGACACCAACCAGAGCCCATATAGGACAACGGTGCTGAAGGTGGAAGATTAGCAGGCTGGACCACTGCGCTGGCCCCCTACCCCAGCTTTCTCACTCAGAGGAAGTTCTGTAGACTAGCCTGGAAGCCAGTCTAGTCTATCCACTACTCCCCCCTACCTCCAGGCTACAGCGGCAGTCTCGCTGGCACACGACTGGCTGGGCTGATGTTGAGCCCCAAGTCCATCTGAAAGACAAGAGGAACTTCTGGAGGCTGCACACCAAAACTGGCTTCTCCATCAATTACCCCTGTGGCCATTGTTAGCACTGCATGTTTTTGACACACAATTGTGGGAATGATGAAAATATTTTAAAAAGAAAGTTGAGCCCAGAGCCTGACAGGATTTGCAAGGTGCCTCCTTCCAGGGGAGGGGGTGCTACCGGAAACAGAGTTTGAAAATCACTGGTCTCCTCTCTAGGCCCCTCCTCCCTCCCTCTCCTCATCTTACAAGCAAGGAAGCTGAGACATGGGCACATAAGCTCAGGGCAATGGCAGGGTCAGGTGAGAATTCACGGCCCTATGACTTGCCTGTGGGTGGTTCGGCTAGAAATCCGCAGTGCCTGCTAGCTATGGGCCAAGAGCATACAGCCCAGGCTAAGGCTCCAGTCTTAAGTCTTCCCGGTTGGGTCCTCTCTCCCAGCGGTCTCCGTGTCTTCTTTGTTGGCAGAGCCTCGCCTCCGCTTCACGAGGCCCCTGCAGGACGTGGAGGGCCGGGAACATGGCATCGCTGTGCTGGAGTGTAAAGTGCCCAACTCCCGCATCCCCACGGCCTGGTTCCGGGAGGACCAGCGGCTGCTGCCCTGCCGCAAGTACGAGCAAATCGAGGAGGGCCCCGTCCGCCGCCTCATCATCCACAGGCTGAAGGCGGACGACGACGGCGTGTACCTGTGCGAGATGCGAGGCCGTGTGCGCACTGTCGCCAACGTCACGGTCAAAGGTCAGCTGGCCTGCAGTGGCTGCGGGAGGAGGCAGAGGCCAGCAGTTGCCCCCGAGCCCAAGTTGATGGATCTCCGTCTGCATCCCAGGCCCCATTCTCAAGCGGCTGCCCCGGAAACTTGACGTCCTGGAGGGCGAGAACGCCGTGCTGCTGGTGGAGACGAGAGAAGCCGCGGTAGAGGGGCGCTGGAGCCGTGATGGGGAGGAGCTACCAGCCACCTGCCAGAGCAGCTGTGGCCACATGCACGCCCTGGTCCTTCCCGGGGTCACCCGGGAGGATGCTGGTGAAGTCACCTTTAGTCTGGGCAACTCACGCACCACCACTCTGCTCAGAGTCAAATGTGAGAGGAGAAGGGGCGGGCAAGGCAGGAGGGTGACCAGATACCCCAAATGAGCAGGGAGAGCCAAGTGGTAGACAGGCTGGGCAAAGCTCACCTGGGAAATCCTGCCTGTGTCTTAGGCGTCAAGCACAGCCCTCCAGGACCCCCTGTCTTGGCTGAGATGTTCAAGGGCCACAAGAACACAGTCCTGCTGACCTGGAAGCCTCCAGAGCCAGCCCCAGAGACCCCCTTTATCTACCGGCTGGAGAGGCAGGAGGTGGGCTCCGAAGACTGGATCCAGTGCTTCAGCATCGAGAAGGCTGGAGCCGTGGAGGTGCCAGGGGATTGCGTGCCCTCAGAGGGCGACTACCGCTTTCGGGTCTGTACAGTCAGCGAACACGGCCGCAGTCCCCATGTTGTGTTCCACGGTTCTGCTCACCTCGGTGAGTCATACCTGCCCCACAGCAGCTGGCCCCTAGGCACATCCACCCCCTTTTGGCCCCT